CAAGGAGGAGGCGGCTGACCAAGAACCTGCTGAAAGAGCGGAACGAAGTACGGCCGCGGCCGTGACGTGCCCCCAGAAACAGCAGAGACAGCACCAGAACCCCCAGCAGCAGCTCCAACTCCCGCAGCACCAGCAGCACCTCCAGTAGGGTCAACGCCAGTACCTCCAGTAGCACCAGCTCCTGCAGCACCACCAGTCCCAGGACCAGGAGCACCACTAGTAGCTCCAGCAGCTCCAGTACCTCCAGCAGCACCAGCAGCACCGCCAGCAGCTCCAGGACCTCCAGCAGTACCAGCAGCACCTCCAGCAGGACCAGTACTAGTAGTACCTCCAGCAGCTCCAGTACCTCCAGTAGCACCAGCAGCACCTCCAGTAGCAGCAGGGCCTCCAGCAGGCGGCACCTCAAAACTAGGAGCTCCACTCCGGAGGCTGCAGCGCCGAGCGTACCACTCATGTAGCCGCTGAGGGGAGGGAGGCTCCGGCCGCGACACAGTACCCGCAGCTCCAGTAGCCCCACGCCGGAGGCCGCAACGCTGAGAGTACCACTCACGCAGCTGCTGTGAAGGGGGAGCACCACCAGGCTCAGCACCCCCAGGCTCAGCACCCCCAGGCTCAGCACCCCCAGGCTCAGCACCCCCAGGCTCAGCACCCTCAGTCTCAGCACCCCCAGGCTCAGCACCCCCAGTCTCAGCATCCCCAGGCTCAGCACCCCTAGTCTCAGCACCCCTCTCAGGACCAGAGTCAACAGCTACCTCGATAGGCTCGACTGCGTCTACCTGGGAAGCACCTGAGGGAGCAGGACCCTGGGGAGGGAGGGGGTCTACCGAAGGGGCACCTGGCGTGAGGAAGAGAGGCGGGCGAGGGAGCGGAGCAGTGCGGTAGGGGAACAGACGGTAAAAGGGTACCGACTCGTCAAAGGTGACGTCCTGAGAGGGGAAGACACGGCGCGAGGTGGGGTGGTAAAACTGCCAACCAGGCGCGTCGGGGACAAAGCCAAGGAAGACACAGGGCACAGCGCGGGCGGAGAGCTTGTCCGCAGTGGTATCGCGGACAAAGGCACGAGCACCCCAGACCCGGAAACGCGACGCATCGCCAACCTGCCCCGTCCACAGCAGTGTGGGCGAGGTCTCTGGAGCAGAGACACGGGGCCAGAGGTTGAGCTGATGCGCAACGTACTGGACTGCAAACGGCCACAGGAAATGGGGGGCAGCCGCATGGATCAAGGAGGTACGAGCGATCTCCATGACTAAGCCAATGCGGCGCTCAGCAACCCCATTCTGCTGTGGAGAGGCCGGAAGCGTGAACGTCTGGCGGATGCCGTGCTCCGCACAGTAGGCTGCCAAGAGGTCGGAGGAAGACTCACCACCTCGGTCAGAGTGCAGACGCAGGACGGGAAAGTCCGACTGGAACCGCTCGCGGAGCTGGAGACGAGCAGCGCGGATCCAAGGGATCAAAACATCAGGGACCTCACCCTTGGTGCGCAAGGGGAAGACCGTGGTGTAGCGCGTGTAGTCATCGACAACCAGCAGGAAGTACCGCTCGTGGCCCTGTCCACGGACGCGGGCTGGGCCCCACACGTCCAGGTGGAGTGTCTGCAAGGGAGCCTCTGTGGGAGGGAACAAGGAGGAGTGAGGAGCGGCGCGCTGCCGCCCCTCGACGCAGGGAAGACAGGGAGGAGCAGGCGAGGGCGGGAGGGGAGGGAGAACCCTGGGAAGACCAGAGACAAGGTACCTGGAGTGCATGCCACGAAGGCGCTGCACTGACGGGTGACCAAGACGGTGGTGCCAGAGAACTGTCTGGTGCGACAGGGAGCGACACGAGCAGGGGGCCGACAGCTGACCTGACGCAGACGCAGACGCAGACGCAGCTACCTGAGGGGACTCAGTGGTCAGTGTGTACAGGTCCGACCCCGGCTGCCGAGTGAAGGTAGCTAGGTGGCGACCTATCCTAGCACACGTACAGTGGGTCACACGCTCATAGGCAGGGGTGAACTGGTGAACACCCCCGTCCTGAAGAGCAGAGCCCGCCACCAAGTTCGTAGAGAACGAGGGGAGGTACAGACCCGACAGGGTGCCGGACGGGACCGCAGGACAAGGGAGGACAGTGGAGGAGGTCGCAAGGACCGGGCCCCCAGAGGGGTCAGCGAGGGAGACAGCAACTGGCCGAGCTAGCTGCTCAAGGGCAGTGCGGTCACGGAAGAAACAGCGGGAAGCACCCGAGTCGAGTGTAAAGGTGTGCAGTGCCTCAGTAGACGCAGTACCAGCAAGCGCAGACGCACTAGCACCTGGGGGAGCAGACTCACTAGCACCAAGAGCAGCAGCCTCACCAGGACCTAGGGCAGCAGACGCACGAGCACCAAGCACAGCAGCCTCACCAGGACCTAGGGCAGCAGACGCACTAGCACCTGGAGGAGCCGTCTCACTGGTCCCAATGCCCGGGTCGGGCGGTACACTCAGGTAACAGTCACCCTCAACCCTAATAGTCAATGCATACATGGCACCAAGGATAGCATCAAAGTCAAGAGCAAAGATATCAATGTTCTTCCTAAGCAGATTAGCCCAGCGGGGCAGCTCAGTGGCGTCAGGAAACTGCTCACGCCAGGCGTCGTCGAGACGAAAGAAGCAGCGCTGCGCCGTATGGAACCTCCCACAGGTCTGGCCAGTGCGGTCACCTGTGCGGATGACGTACGGGCAGGTACCTCCACCCCCAGACCCCCCACTGCGAGAGTACCACTCACGGAGCTGCTGGGGCGAAGGAGTTTCGCCGGGACGCTACTGCTGCTGCCTCTGGCCACCGCCGAACCCTCCACGCTGCACCGCTCCACCGCGCCCGCCACCCGCTCCACCGCCGCCACCACTGCCACCACCGCCCCCACCACCCCCACCACTGCCGCCGCCACCACCCCCTGTGCCGCCACTGACCCCCCCACCACCCGCGCCACTCCCACCGCCGCCACCACCCCCGCCCCCCCCACCCCCTCCACCGCCGCCGCCCCCGCCTCCACCTCCACCACCCCTGCCCCCCTTGCACCTGCCGCTCTTGCGCCTCCCACTAGGAGCAGACGCGGCCCCGACCCCCTCAGCGCCGAGGTAGTCGACAGCAGCAGCAGATGCAATGGAGGGGAGGAGGGGGGAGGGGGAGCACCCCTCAAAGAAGGGGGAGCGGGGGTCACCACGAGAGGCACCTACAGCTACAATGCTCTTCTCAGCTGCTAGGAGTTCCTTCTCGAGGAGGTCGACAGTGAGGTCAGTGGGGGAGAGGGCGAGAAACTGGTCCCTGACAGTGCGAAGGGAGTCAGGGAGGCGGGTGACAAGGTGGTACAGTGTGAGGTACATCGGGGGGGGGTTCTTGGCGAGGAAATCGGGGGGGAGCGCGGCACGGTAGCGGAGGTCACTGGTACGGAGGTGGGTGATGAGGTCAGCTACCGTGGCAAAGGCGGACAGGTCGGGGAAGAGGTAGGGCAGTGAGAGACGGCATATAGCAGCAGTGGCAGGGGAGGAGTAGCGCGCGACTACTGCGTCGTACAGCTCCTTAGCGGTCTTATGCTGGCCGAAGTGTTCGCGCTCATCTAACGGCAGGTGGCTGCGAACGGCTAGGCGAGCGTGAGCATCACGGGTCTGCCACTGGGAGCGAGCAGTACTGTCAGCAGTAGTGGCAGGTGCGGGAGCGGCGCCTGACGTGTGGTCATACAGGGAGACATCGTCGTTGGCAGTGATCTGGAGGAACAGGTGGAGGTCATCTAACCAAACGGCAAACTTAATCGGGCGGCCCTCAGCGTCAAAGGTGAGAACAGAGGGAGTGGCCATAGTGGCAGTAGCAGCAGTAGGAACAGTAGCAGTAGTAGCAGTAGCAGTAACAGTGGCAGCTGAAGCAGTAGTACGGCAGGAACAGGAACAGGAGTTGCTGCAGGTGGGGCACAGTAGGGCGGCGCGGCTCGGCCAGGGCGGCTCGGCTAGGTCCGGGCTGCGCGGCTCGGTTCGGGCGGCGCGGTTCGGCTCGGGCTGGGCTACGCGGCGGTGCGCGACGGGGGGCGTGCGTGTGGGCGGCTGTAGCGGGCGAGCCGTGGCTGTGCGTGGGCCTGACTAGCGCGTGGGCGGCGGCCTAGAGGGCGACGCGGCGGCCTACGGGCGGGGCTGCCGGTCGCTAGCGGGCTACGCGCGGCCAGGAGGGCCGGTCGACGGGCGGCTAGTGGGCTGCTCGTGGTGGCGTGGGCGGCTAACGGGCGGCGCACGCGCAAAAGCGGCCGCGCGCGGGCTGCTAGCGGGCGACGCGTGCGAAAAAAAAGGCCGCGCGCGGCAATAGCGAGCCGCGCACGGGCAGCAGGAGAAGAAGAGGCGCACGAGGGCGCACTAGGAGAAAGGCGCTCGAGGGCGCTAGGTCGATATGGCGCTCGAGGGCGCTTCTAACGGTGGGCCCTTAGGTGAGTCCTAGGTCTAGAACCTAAGCTCTTAATACCATGTCAAGAATGAGAAGTGATTGAACTATGAGAAAATGGAGTACAAGTATGAAACCCTAGAGTTGTGTACCCCCTAAAGGCTAACCCACTATAGCCTACACAGCAATAACATATATCTAATGTTTGACAACAAGGGGCACAGCGGACAGAAGGGACACAAGAGACAGAAGAGGCGGAGGGAGCAGAGAGGGCAGAAGGGGCAGAGGGGTTATATGGGTCAGTTCGAGACGAAATGTAGGATGTGAAACGCAAAGCCTCCTCTACCCAAAGGGGTAGGGGCTGTATGACCATGCACAGCTACATTAAGGTCAGCTGTAAGCTCTGCTGCCTTGCAGCATCTGTGACGTGTCAACAAATGGTGGTGGTAACATGATGAGCTAACACTATGATTGTGGCATGGCACATCCGAGATTGGAAAAACGAATGAATGGCAAGGGAAAGTATTGAAAGCACTGTCTCAACGGCCGGTGGGTTGGAATGAAGGAATGCAGCTGTTATAGCTCCTGACTGGCCACTTCCTGCATCAGGTGCTTAATCAGGTGCTATGACTGTTCTAAAGTCAGGTGCCTGTCTCATCTGCTTGATCAGGTGCCGCATAGCAGATACCCCTCCCTCTCCATCTGCCAATCCCCTCGCCAAAAATCGCACACCCCTCCCCGCTCTTCGCCTTGCACACCTCCCTCTTTCTCACTACCCACCAACTCGCCCCCACACTCCCTCCTCCTCCTCCGCTTCTTTGTGCATTCTCCCCTCGAGCAGCAGAAAGTGCCTTAAAGGAGGTGTGATTGAAGCGAAGGGCGCGGAAGTGCGGGTGGGAGGCGGAGGAGAGGTGGAGCATGAGCCAGGGCATGATAACGAGGGAGGAGAGCATCACAGCACACGCGCTCCAAGCAGCCGCCACCACCACCAGCACCCGTAGCACCACAACCGCCGCCTGGGGTAACCCTTCCTGTAGCATGCTCACCCAGTGCTTGCGTGCTTGTAACGCAGCCACGGCTGCAGCAGCGCCTGCGGATGTGACTGTACCGAATGGGTTTTGTTTCCCATTCGCCGCTGCCTGCGTGCTGGTGGTTGAATTTGGGCCGCCTGGGCCTAATTCCTAGAGTGTACTGTAACCGTTTGGGCCTGATTCCGATATTATACCGAGGTCTGAGCTTATACCGAGTTCGGATCTTGTAGCGAAGTATCCCGGGCATCGGATCGCCGGGGCTGGGGCGACGGCGGTGCTGCTTCCCTGCGGAGCGATGTGAGGCTGTAACATTCGGGCCCAACCCCCACCTGGTCTCGATACGTCGAACCAGCTGAGAGGGGGATTTGGGGGGAAATCTGATTGGTTGAGAATACAGGGAGAAGCGAGACTTGCGGGGAATTGTGGGTTGATTGGGAAACCAACCAATCGAAATTGCTAATGAATTGAACCCACGTAATTGGTTCAAGTTGGATCAAACACAACCCACGTAAGTGCAACTCAGACCTAATTCGACCAATCAGAACACAGCCCCAGAAGTGAGTCGACAACATTTCGCCGCTCACTTCAAACACAACCAATAAACATCAAACACAGGTTTGTGATTGCTGTGCATTTCCTATCCTTGCTATCTAAAATGTAATTGGTTGAGAACCTTGTTTGTTGCCACATGGGCAAGGCCCAAGGGAGTGCACCCCTCCTTGCCATGGGGAAGGTGGCTGCACCCCAAGGGGGTCTAGGGAAGGGGTCTGAGCCTTCTGGTTCATTCTTCACTTCCTACTCCCAACCAATCAATTGGGAAATAGGATTGTTTTCTCTCAACTCACCTTCCACAGTTTGTGACGGCATCTCCTAGCAACTCTCAGACTTAGTAATTTCCAGGAGCTGCTACTCTCTGTTTGTATTAGAACCTATTATTACATGGGTAAATCCCCTTTCTGTTAGTGGATCCGTTACATTGGTAATCAGAGCTACAAGTAGATCCTCGCCTTGTGGGCATCTAAGAGGATTTTTCTTTTTCTTCTTCTTGGAGGAGTTGTGATTTTCATTGTAATCTCCATATTATAAACTTGTGAAGACTACAAGCTACTCAAGCTTAAGTTTTTCAAGATCTACAAGCTTCTCCAAGTATTCTGCTCCCTCCCTCCCTCCCTGCTGGTGGAACTACTGGAGCCACTGTGAAGAAGTTGCAACCTGTGTGGATTAATCCATTCTGTTGAAGACAATCACATTGTGAATGCTCTTGCCTTATCCACTACGGTGGTAAGGATATTTTGCAACAGATTGGTTATTCACATTGCTGTGGTTGTAAGATCTATTGAAGAAATTTCTCCTTTGGAGAAAATCTTGGTTATTCACTGCGGTGATAACAATTTGCAGTAGATCTGTAACTCATTTTTATAATACAGTGACTTTGCTCTAAATGGCTTCTACCAACTCCAATGCTGGTGGTGTTGAAGGCAACAACTCCCATGCTGAACTGGAGGCTTGTGTGCAGAAGATTGACTTGAACAACATGGATGAGGAAATGGCTGAAAAGGAGCCTGCTGTTGACTCCCCTGCTAAGGACCCTCCAGCTGCAGAAAATTCCAAGGAGCAGGAAGAGGGGTCTCAGGAGGATGACATTGAGTTGGAAGGGGAAGAGGATATTCTGCATGCTGAAATTTGCTGCAGGATCATGCTGCTGAGCAGGATACGCGCATCCAGCAGCAGCAGTCACTCATTACCAACCTCAGGGGGGAGCTTGCTAACCAGGACAACAAAATCAAGTACCTGGAAGTTGAGCTCAAGAACATGAAGCACGACGCACGGGAGCACGTTCATCAGCTGGCGAGACAGACCTCAAAGATCAACGAGCTGCGCGAGGCTTTCAGTGCCTTCCGGAGGGAGACCATGTATCGCCCTGCACCACGAGCGGACCCGCCTGCCAACTCTGCTAGCGGTCGCACCAACCCTTCTCGCTCTGGTGGCGTGGCGGGTGACCCCGGACCTTCTACGCAGCGCGCTGCTGAGCCAAACACGCAGGTTTTTGGCTCTCTGCCGATTACCCTGCCGCCATTCATCCATGGCAAGACGGACGTGGCGGCATGGTTGTCAATGATGTCCGACCTGTTCAAGGCTCACAAGGTCCATGACGACGCTCGCGTCATCGCTGCCACCACCGTGCTGGACCAGAATGCACACCGAGTGGTGTATGGCAGCAAGCTCCAGGCTGAGGCGGATAGGAAGCCGTTTGGGTGGGAGGAATTCGCCTCTGCACTCAAGCAAGCTTTCCAGGTCCAGCCGACCCAGCTGGAGGTGCGCAGCCGCCTTGAGAAGCTGCAGTGCGGGAACCGCACAGTTCAGCAGTACGCTGTGGAGTTCGAGGAGATCTGGGTGCTGCAGAAACCGGCGGAACGTATGAGCGAAGGCGAGAAGATCCACCTCTTCTTCAAGGGCTTGCCTGAGCACCTCCAGAGCATGCACATGACGGATGGGGCTGGGGAGTCGTGGAGGTCCTATGATCACGTGAAGCGCGTGGTGGGGACCACTGATAAGCATTTCCGTGCTTATGCGAAAACTACTACCCAGCCGCAGCAGGCCTCAAGGCCGTCGTGCAGCCCTGCGGGTCCTGGCGGAAGGCAGCAGGCGCCTTGGAAGGGCGGGAACCACAAGAGGCCTTTCCAGCAGGGACAGCAGGCTGACCACAAGGCCAAGAAGGTCAACGAGGGTGGACCAAGCAATGTCCAGAGCTGCTTCAAGTGCGGCAAGCCTGGACAGAAGGGCTACGAGTGCCGCCACCGCAAGTCGGTGAAGTACTCTGGCAAGCCCAAGACGGACAACAAGCGCCATGATGGCAGTGGCCCCTCGGGTGGCCAGCGGGATTTTGCAAAGCCCAACTAGGGGGTGGGTACCTAGCGGGCATAGTAGATCGAGAGGATGAGGCAGTGGTCCTGCGGGATGAGGAGTTGTTGAAACTCGAGTGCCTTGTTGATTGCAAAATTGCATGTGTGTATGCATTTTCTTTTAATGAAAGCTCTTTGTTTGCCTCTCGATTTCACCCACTAGAAAATATCACAGTTGAATCATTACGAGATAAATTCTCAATAATATTTTGTGATCACCAAAATTTGCCTTGGATAATGGATGTGGTGGGTCGTTGCACCCAAGCGCACCCTCTAACTGCGGTTGGAATGGTAACGCGCACAGTTCGAGGTAAATTGTTTCGAGCACTTCAAGGATGGAGCGTGTTAGCGCAGTGGGATAAGGGACACCATGTGTGGTGGACACAAGCTCGTTCTTTTGGACGCAGCAAACACGGCATTAAGGCATACTATTTGCCTCCCACTGATATTACAGCATGTCCTATTCGACCCAAACAAAACCTTTTGTTTTCGGGTCGCGTAAATGGGCGCAGTGCCTCGATCCTGGTTGATACAGGAGCAACTGCGTCATTGATCGATGAGAAGTGGATGGGATATTTGAATGTTCCTGTTCAAGGACCATCTTGTTCTATCCGTCTAGGGGATGACATGATCATTCCATGCAGAGGACATGCGTTGGTCAACCTGGATATCCAAGGATATCAGGAGACCATCAGCGTTTTTGTCTTACCCCTCCTAGCAGGCATAGACATTGTTTTGGGAATGGATTGGCTGCGGCCTAATGAGGTGATATTAAGTTTCCAAGATAACACGCTTTCATTCACAAAGAATGGGACGACGTTCCAATGGCAAGTCCCAAAGCGCCATGCACTGGACGACGAACCTCAAAGCCTGGCTCTTGATGTGCGCTTTGCGTCGGCTCTCCAATTCAAAGAGCATGTCAAGGGAGCTGATACACTTTTTGTTGTACAGCTAGACTCTGAACCAACCCCTTCACAGATTATTGAGGACTTCCCACCTCAAATGAAGGCGTTGGCAGAGGAATATTCCGAGGTTTTCGAACCAATTCCGGACGGGTTACCTCCCGACCGTGCAGTTGGCCACACCACCCCGGTGGAACCAGGAAAGGCACCACCGTTTAGACCTCTGTATCGCCTCAGTCCAGCTGAGTACGAGGAGGCTAAGCAACAAATTGAGGAATACCTCAGGAAGGGATGGATAGAACCCAGCGCGTCCCCATATGGAGCACCTATCTTGTTCGTTCACAAGAAGGGGGGTGGACTGCGCATGTGCGTCGATTATCGAGCCCTGAATAAAATAACGATCAAAAAAAGATATCCACTTCCGCGGATAGAAGATCTATTTGATCGACTACAGGGTGCGCAATGGTTCAGTGCACTGGATTTGGCTCAAGGCTATCACCAATTGCGTATAACAGAGGACGATGTTCCAAAGACGGCTTTCCGTTCGCCGTTCGGCCATTTTCAGTGGCGTGTGTTGAGTTTTGGCTTGACCAACGCTCCGGCCTCTTTCCAGAGGGCGATGAACGATGTGTTTCGTGATGCGATTGGCCAGTTCGTCTTGGTGTACCTCGATGATATCCTGGTATACTCAAAATCCGAAGACGAGCATACGGAACATCTGAAATGGGTCGAAAAATTACGCGAGCACAAATACTACGCACGTTTGTGGAAATGCCATTTTTACAAACGTGAGCTGGAGTATTTGGGGCACGTGGTGGGGCATAACGGGTTGAAAGTGGACCCCAAGAAGGTAGCAGCTGTCCAAGAGTGGCCCGTCCCATACGACGTTGGCCAAGTTCGATCATTCTTGGGCCTGGCGAATTATTTTCGTCGCTTCTTGGAAAATTATTCCACGATAGTCGCTCCCCTCACGGCATTGACCCGGAAAGGGTATGCATGGGAGTGGACTCCACAGTGCCAAAAGGCCTTCGAAGAGGTCAAGCATAAATTAACGAACGCACCAGTTTTGGTGTTGCCAAACCCACAGAAACCATATGAGGTGGTTACGGACGCCTCAACGGTGGGACTTGGTGCAGTACTCCTGCAAGAAGGACGCCCTGTGTCAATTGAGAGTAGAAAACTCTCCCCGGCAGAGCAACGCTACACGACGACCGAACAAGAGTTGTTGGCTGTCGTGCATGCGCTAAGAACATGGCGATGTTACTTGGAAGGGGTAGAGTTCGTGGTCACCACTGACCATTGCCCGAACACATATTTTTCTACCCAAGCTACCCTCACTCGCCGTCAGGCCCGTTGGGCTGAACTCCTTAGTGGGTTCAGTTTCGACATTCGTTATCGTGCAGGTTCCACAAACCTGGCTGACCCCCTCAGCAGACAGCCGATAGGGGCAGCAACTGGGCTTGACGATACCGAACATGCGGCTGTTTTTGCTGCCTGTTTTGGCATACTAGCTGCGGCGAAAGTGAGCGAGATCGCGTTCAGTGGTTTTCTGAAACGAATTCGTACAGGATATCATATAGATTCCTGGTTCCAGAACCCACAAAACACCAGACATTTGACATGGGAACACGATCTTTGGTGGCGAACAAAAGAGATTGCGGTACCTCATGTAGGCAATCTGCGGAACGATGTTTTGGAAGAGGTGCATGCCACTAAATATGGGGGACACTTGGGCATAAATAAGACCCGGTGGGCCCTACGTGATGTGTATTGGTGGCCAAGAGTCGGTAGTGATGTCCAACAGTTTGTGGCACGTTGTGACACGTGCGCACGTAACAAACCGAACACACAGAAGCCTGGTGGTTTGCTTCAACCACTTGAAATTCCGAGTGAACCTTGGGAAAGCGTTTCACTGGATTTCATCACCGACCTCCCAAGAACCCGTGATGGGTATACGGCGATACTCGTCTTTGTAGATCGCCTTACAAAAATGGTGCACTTCGTACCTACGACAACAGACGTATCAGCAGAGGATACTGCTCGGTTGTTCGTGACACATGTGTTCCGTCTACACGGATTGCCACGTGTATTAGTGTCTGATCGCGACCCGCGCTTCACGAGCCGATTCTGGCGTGAAGTAACCGAGACACTAGGAACGAAGCTTAAGATGTCGTCAGCGTTCCATCCCCAGACAGATGGGCAAACGGAACGGACTAACCGCACTCTCGAGCAGATGCTTCGTTCTTTCATAAGCCCAACACATGACAATTGGGACGAGTTGTTACCCATGGTCGAGTTTGCGGTTAACAACTCAGTGCATGATAGCACACATGAAAAACCATTTATCCTGAACTGTGGTCGGCATCCCACAACACCTGCTACGCATGGGATCGGCGGTTTAAAATTACCTGCCGCAAAGGATTTTGTGGGCAAGCAACGAGAGGCCCTAAAGTCGGCACGTCGTTGGCTGCAATTAGCCCAACAAAGGCAAAAATCCTATGCCGATATGAAACGCCGGGAAGTCTCATTCTCCGTTGGAGACAAAGTTTTGTTAAGCACGAAAAATATTCCGCTTAAGATCCCTGGTGCGAGAAAGTTGTTCCCTCGCTAGATTGGGCCCTTCGAGGTGATTCAATGAGTTGGTGCGGTAGCTTACAAGCTCAAGTTACCTGATACCCTGCAGATTCACAATGTCTTCCATGTGTCTCTGTTAAGCAAGTACGTTGCAGAAGGCAAGTACTTACCACCACCAACAATCGTCCTAGGGGAGGAACTGTACTATGAAGTCGAACGAGTGCTTTTGCATCGTGATCGACAGCGCGGCCGCAAGACTGTACGAGAGTTTCTCATTAAGTGGAAAGGCTATGGGCCTGAACACAACTCATGGGAGCCGGAAGAACATTTGACTGATACTGCAGTTCAGTCTTACATGGAAGACCTGGCTCAGCGAGCACTCCCACAACCAGCGGATGGTGTTGACACTGGTCGTAATGTGGTTCGTCGTGCTCGTAGCACTCGTCCTAAGAAGCACCCCACGGCAACGAGGACGTTGCCAGCTGGAGGGGGAGGAGTGTAACATTCGGACCCAACCCCCACCTGGTCTCGATACGTTGAACCAGCTGAGAGGGGGATTTGGGGGGAAATATGATTGGTTGAGAAAACAGGAAGAAGCGAGACTTGCGGGGAATTGTGGGTTGATTGGGAAACCAACCAATCGAAATTGCTAATGAATTGAACCCACGTAATTGGTTCAAGTTGGATCAAACACAACCCGCGTAAGTGCAACTCAGACCTAATTCGACCAATCAGAACACAGCCTCAGAAGTGAGTCGACAACATTTCCGCCGCTCACTTCAAACACAACCAATAAACATCAAACACAGGTTTGTGATTGCTGTGCATTTCCTATCCTTGCTATCTAAAATGTAATTGGTTGAGAACCTTGTTTGTTGCCACATGGGCAAGGCCCAAGGGAGTGCACCCCTCCTTGCCATGGGGAAGGTGGCTGCACCCCAAGGGGGTCTAGGGAAGGGGTCTGAGCCTTCTGGTTCATTCTTCACTTCCTACTCCCAACTAATCAATTGGGAAATAGGATTGTTTTCTCTCAACTCACCTTCCACAGTTTGTGACTGCATCTCCTAGCAACTCTCAGACTTAGTAATTTCCAGGAGCTGCTACTCTCTGTTTGTATTAGAACCTATTATTACATGGGTAAATGCCCTTTCTGTTAGTGGATCCGTTACAGAGGCTGGGGGAGGCTGTGCGAGGGCGAATGGTCCAACACGGCCCTCGGGATTGACGACGAGCACGCTGTTTCTGATTCTGATTCTGATACTGCTGCTGTTGGGAGAAGACCGTTTGCTGGTGTAACAGTAGCGGGTAGTGATGCTGCTGTTGGTAACGCGACTGACCGGATTGATGCTGCTTCATTCGATTCCGTCCTTTGTGAGATCGCTACCGTTGAATCGGCAAGACGCGAATCTTCCGTCGCTGGAAATCGCGTTCCTGGGTCAGCAGAGTATCGCGTTGCTAGTGTTTCCTCTTTCTACAAATAAGGCGGCCCTGGCTACATGAGGTTCCATTCTCGCGGTATCGG